CTGCAGCTTCTTTATTTCCTAATTGGCTATTATATTCTGAGCCTCCCTTAACCTGTGAAAAAGTTTAGATGGAGTCTAGTATTAGAAAAAAATAAAATGACTTATACTGATGCAACTGTTGAGCGGCCAATGAATATTAATGGCCAGTTATTACTATCCAGGCAGCCAAAAGAGAAACAACTTGATATCGCAGGAGTGAAATCTAAACTAAGGAGACTTGAGAGAACAGGGAATTGAGCTGTGGTTACTGTATTTCTACACAACATCGCAGAGAGAAATAAAGTCAATGGGGAGTTTCTCAGTAGCTCTTAATCACGCCACAGATTAGAATAAATGTTTTTGGAAACTTGCATTCACATCCTGAGCTTCATCATAATCATATATGCTCAGCACTAGAAATATCAGGCAAAAGTTGCACTGCAGAAGCAGGATGCAAAAAAAGGAACACAAAATCTCCGCATTTTGCCTATAGCAAAGATAGCTGAGAAATTCTGTTCTTCACCAGCAGATATAGCAGCCTCACAACTGCTCTATTGTGCACTTCCAGCGAAAAGCCTTGTAGCTGAGAAAATCTAGAGCACAACAGTTCTCCAACCTCACCTTTGCCATGCCATCCCCTTTCCTATATTATTCTGTTAGCCTGAGACAGGAAAGGCCATCGTTCCAAGTATGCCATCTTCAGTATAGTATGACATTGTCAATGTTTGCCACATTAAAAGCCCTTTGATACCACCAGAAAAGTGTAAAAAGACTGAAAAACAAGAGAGCAATTAACTCACTAAATGGACAATATAACATTGCTTTCTTCAGAGATCCAGTTGGATTAAAGAGAGACCTCACAGATTCTTCTTCATGAGAGACTTCAGGCAGCTACTGAATGTTAGGAGCCATGCAGAGTGATGTGGGTTGAAATTGGGCAGATGCTCAAGCTGTGAATGAGTACCAAAACACTCTCAATTGGTCAGGAATGAGCTTATCCATAGACTGAAAACCAGGTTTGGGATCAGGGCTATAAGAATACAGCTGAGATCTCAATAAGTGTAGATTCATTTTTAGGTGTACATAAAATGGTGGGATGGAATGTAACTTCAGTTACATAATGTTTCCCTAGTAAAAAGATCTTCATCTTTCAAGCAGCTTTCACAGTTCGAGCACTGGTTTTTCACTTAACTGCTCCTACCTCCTTCCTGTGCATCAACCCCTTTCCCTGCAGACCCTTCAAGTCTCCTGAGTCGTTGTGAGATGGCAAATGGCTGCTCAGGGAAGTTGTAAATACTCAGCCTGGGTTCTTATCACTTTTAATTCTTAAACAAGGGTGACTAGGAGGAAGACAGTCTGTTTCCTTCTGAAGAGATTGCTAGTGACCTAGTGGGGCCAAAGAAAACTAATCTATCTAATTGCTGAGTTTCTGATCTGAGGCTGTGAAGGCCCCATCTTCTTTAGCACAATGCTGGTAAACCTGGAGCAATTCACAGAACCAGTTAAGTAAAGCCAGTAAGGTGACTGTGATAATCTACTAGTTGCAATTGGTGTATTCGTAATTGTTCGTAACCTATGCTATGAGCAAAGAGACAAGTTGTGCACTAGTGCGTGGATGCTCTCTCCAGTGCTTCTCTCACATTAAGCAAAAGAAATTATCCTAAGTCTTTTTCAGAACACCCCCCCAATTTAAAATTCTTTGTCTGCTTGAAAATACCTGAGGCATTTCAACCGTAGTTTTCTGCAAATGGAAGCCGAGAAAACAGGAAGGAGGAGGTTAAATAAAATAATCAAATGGAAACCATACAGACGTAGCTGTGAAACAAACTACACACCTGGGAGATCTGCTGAATACTTTCTTCAGCCTCTAAGCCAAATCTCTGCAGGAGAATGTTTTAAGCTGGTGCAGTTAACTAGGTATTCGCAGATAGGATGATTATGAAGATAAGGTTCCATGCTGGGAGTCAGAAGATTTTGTTGTAAATAACTTCTTACATAGCAATGGGCTTGTTGTTTCACTGCAGGGTAGTTTTACCCATCTGTAAAACAGAGACGATAACACCAGCTTTTCTTCATGAAATAGTATATGATACAAAGAGGAAAAATGTTATACAAGCCTACAAAAATGTTATACAAGCCTAGATTCAATTCTGCTAACGGGGATGGAAAGACTCATAAATCTGGTAGGCCACAATCAAGTGTGTGAAGTTTTAAGTGCCTAGAAGTTGTTGTCATTGGTATAACTCTGCTGATAGTCACCAGACAGTAATTATTTCAGGATCTTTGCCTTGTCTAGAGTCCTCTCAAAGCCCAGGTCAATCTTGGAAAGAACAAATCAAAACTTAAGAAATCAACCTAAATAATATAATTTCATTCCATCTTTAGACTTAATACCTGAAACTGTTCAGCATGTGGGTCTGCTAATGAAACCAATGAAAACTTCTCACTGTTGACAGATGACATCAGAGAGGTTTTCTCTATTTGCATAAGTTATTAGACATCATGTGATGCCTGAGTCTAGCCTTTACTGATTTAGGTGCTGCAGAGAGTGGTTTGGAACAAAGCTACTCTACCTAACATCTGCTTACATGTGCAGCTTTCTGTGCTGGTAATTTAACTCTTTCCTAAGTATTTGGAAAAAACTGCTCTTGAAGATGACCAGGGCTGTCCGGAATGTGGTCCTTAGGGCACAGCCCATGCATGGAATAACCCCAGGGATGTTTGAGGTTCAGCTTAATGATCTGTGCATATCACCAGCTACTTTGTTCTCTTTCTATTCAGCAGAACTAAAACAAAAAAATTGCAGACTTTCAGCAGCAAATACAGAGAAAAATTCATCAGTGTTAAAGGGCCCTGAGGAGGCCACAAGAGCAGCTTACAGCTCAGGTTGCTAGGAATGTATGACACATCTTAAGAAATAAATTCCAAGGTCAACTTTCTTGTCAGTGAGCACAATAGAGCCAGAAAGCTGCTTCCATAAGGACTGATGGCTGCTATTAGCAAGCAGAGTGACCCATAGGCAGGCTTCTCAGAGGTATTTTGAGCTCCAGAAACAGACCAGTGCCAGTCCCATCACTAACCACTTAGTTTACAAACCCAGGCTCAAATGTGGCAGTGGGGATTTCAGAGATGCCAGTGCCTCGCTCCTTGTAGGATTACAGCTATCTGCCTGTAGCAGTTGAAGCTTATGAAGAAGCCCGGCGCTTCGCTCATCCCCAAAAGGCCAGCAGTTCTCCCAAAACACAGTTATGTGATATTAAAAGCAACAGTTCAGTACTTGCAGTGTCATGGTTACCATGGCAGCCGTGCCAGGCTTTTGTGCTGATAGTAGTACTTAATAGCAGTATTACAAACAGAAAGGAATTGCAATTCATTGCAAACATCTACAAACAACAGAATGCCCCTATAGCTTTTTTCAGGTTTTTAAAATATATTGAGAGACAGAAAATGTTACTACCTCTCTATGGGGAAATAATTGGCTAAGTGTACATGGAGAAGAAAGGAGGCAGAGGTGAGATATGCAGAACAGAACATTTCTTTCCTGTAATGACAAACCAGTGACATCCAAATAAAAGTAAATGCATAGAATGCAATTACTGGCACAGGGATAGATGTATATAGCACATGCTGTATACATCTGTGTGTGTGTGTGTGTGTGCACTCAACTGTTGTTTGAAAAGGCTTTTGCCTATTATTCATCTGTCTTGTCCATCTGACACCAGAGGAATTGTATCTCTGAACCCCACCTAATGCCGTTTCTCTTTTGGTCTTGTATTATTACTTGGCTTCAAAGTCACTGAAAAATAAATAACAGTATCATGTAGCATTCAGAATGAGACAGTATGTAAATCTAGAAGAGGCACTGGAATTAAGTTTACTTATTGACTTTATCTTTCTCTAAAGACTTGCAGGACCACCCATTGCCTTACAGTCTCTAGTTAATAAGCATTGTGCAACCAAGGTTTAGGATGCTGCCTACAGTTACTGAGTCTCAGCTTTTGGAAAACTTCAGAAAGCACACCTGGACTGTTTTTTCCTCCCTTCCACCAAAATACTCTTATTGAGCTGTGCCATCTTTCGAGTATATTCTCAATATACCAAATTGCACTTTATACTCTAAAGTAAATCTTACACTAAATAGCACTTTGAATTGTTTTACAAACGTCATACAAGTCACACAGAGAAAAAAGTACTCTTCTCAGTCTATCTTCATGGGAATGTGTGGAGCAAAATGGGCAAATCTGACATTCTATTTTCATTATTTACAGCCAAGCATAAATTTGACTCCATCCATTTTCTAAATTCATGGCCTGCTGTAGTGTTTTCTATATGTAGTGTCCCGTGCTGGCATTGCAAATACTGTGCATGTTTCAGATGAGAACGTCAGAAAATTGATTTTTTTTTCAAATCCACGTTCTGCTGTCTTATTCCCATACTTAATGTACTCTGTGTGTCTAAAACGTGTACAGCCATTCTGCACGACTGATATCAGAAATAATATTTCAAACACCTGGGGTAAATTCAGGGAGGGAAAAAAGCAAGGATTTTTCCCTCTGGGAATATTGCGCAAAGGCATAAATCAGCATAAACAGAATATACTCAAATGCTCAAACACAACTCACAGTCCACTGCCTCTCCCAAGCTCTGAGCGACAGTAGGCTTCATGACGAGCAGGTCATTCATGCACCATCTGTCGTCATGCAAAAACATGATCCGATCTCTAACCGTGGTCTTCTGCTCGCAGGACTAGGAACCACTGCAGGCCCGTTTCCGAAACTGCCCCTCTATGCGGAAGTACAGGCGGCGGCCGTCACACCTAACGCGATCACGTTTTGTTTCTCCTCCCACTTAACAGACTTTATTTTATTTTGGTGCAGTGCACACGAACGCAGTGTCTAGGACAGACGTGCTACCTTTTATAGTGTCGCTATAGAACTCGTTAGCTGTGAACCCTTAATTTGCAGCTGGAACTAATAAACAGTGCATAGTGTTTCAATAGCCTTCTGCTTATATGTTTGAAGATTCGAAACTGAATGGTGAGGTGGCCAAGGCGGCGCTGGCAAACGAAGACTGTCCCCACATAGACCAGGCTATTACGCCTGATGAGGGCCTGCCCTTTACCCGCTCTGGCACTCGGGAGAGATATGGACCCTGCTTCCTCTTATCAACCGGGGAATATCCCTGCCCGCCTGATGGAGGAATAAGAAAGGGTATGTAGCTGGGGTCCTGTAACTATGTAGTTAGCAACCGTTTTAAACGAATAAGAAAAAGTCAGCTATAGCTCTAGCACGCAATAGTGCGCTTGCTGTAGAGATGCACGTTTGGGCTGGAAACCACCACCTGATGTCTGCATTTGGAGTTTCTAACCTATTTCTTTCAGAAAGAAAAGCCTGAAGAGCTGTAACTACCCCTTGCAGCTATGCTAGACAGTTGAGACTTCCACCCTAACCGGTGCAGTAAGCTTCAGTGCAGTGAGCTTCAGTGGAGAACGCTCCACAGTGCCCTCAAATTAGCCCATTCTCTAAGGAGAGGCCAGTTAGCATTTGACAGCAACAAAAGTTTGCTGCTTTAAAAGCTCATAGATTTTACAGACTCTGAGGAGCAAATACTTGGGAGGTAGCAGACAAAAAAAGTTAAAACGCAGAAGCAAAAGATCCTCAAGAAACATCAAATGATTATTCGGCCACCTTAACAGAGCACTAAAGGAAATTATTTGGATCTTCATCGCTGTTTTGCTCAACAGAGGAAGAGAAGCACACAAGAACATCTGTTAGCACAGGTGTCTTCAATTGCAAAATAATTCACCTAAAATCACTTTCTTTTCATAAATAAATCATTACTAGTTAGTTTCTCTGACTTCTGACAGCTACAGATCTCTCAGGAGTCATTTCATTTTAGTTTCATTATGGCCAGAATCATTCATATAGTGACAAGAAGTCAAACTGAATGAAAAAAAATACCTTCCCTTCTTAAAACAGGCTACGTTTTGTTTAAGTTACTTACGCTGAAGAAACCATACAAACCAAAATTAGAATGACATGCATATGCATAAAAGTCAGTAAGAAATGGGGAAATTGGAAAGGTCTGTCTCTTCAAATCAGTGTTTATCACTGGTGTACTGTATATAGTATATGATACAGTCATTATTTTAAAACTTCAAAGATTGTACGACGTAACCATACGCTGAGTATGGAGTATAGAATTCCCATGTGCCATTGTATGATGGGCAATAGTTATAGTAAATGCCAGTTATAGATAGTGTATGTATTTATAAGTTTAAAGCTTATCATCAACAAAGATATAGTTGGACCACAACACTTTCATATGAAAGTATAACCTCTTAAATTTACCTTTGTAGCAAAGTGTTTTACTTGATTCTGTATTGGATAAGCATTGGCCGCGTTCATTCAGCCTGGGCGAGTTTGGGTGGTTCCAGTGGATCAGGGGAACACTCCAAATGGCACATCCTTTGGGATGAGGAATGTATGGTTTTCACGATGCACTGCAACTGCCTCTCGTTACTGAATGAAACAGAGGCTGGTTGGCTAAAGAGTAATATACGTCAGCATATTGTTGGCCTGTTTGAAACACGTTGAGAGCATCTTAATTGTTGTTCCAACAGAATTTCACCCATAGTTTGTGCAACTCTCTGTACACTTGCTGAGCTGTTTACGTGCATGTCTGACAAAGGTGGGGGGTGGGGGAGGGAAAAAAAGCATGCAATTTTTTTTTTTAATTTTTTTTTTTAATGCTGAGAACAAAGGAGTAGTATCTCTATAGCAACAAAATAAATTACATGGATTTTGCTGCCTTTTTTTTTTTTTTTCCCCTCTCTCTCTCTCATCTTCCTTCCCCAGAGCTACCAGAAATCTAAATTCTGCCTGAGGTCAAAATGCATGAGGTGACAGGGAATGGTATGCGTGAGTGTATGATTGAGACATCAAAAATCCCCCTCCTACTGACTTTGTTTTAGGGTATAACCACATCGCTGCCTGTAGGATCAATTTCACAGCAATTATCCTTGAAAAATGATTTCTTGTTGTTTTTTTAAAACTTGTTCTTTACTTCAGTGGCCAAGTGAGTCAAGTTGCAAGCGATACTACTCTAGCATGTCTGTGCATGCAGTTGCTATTGAACTGGCTACAATGTTGACCTCATTCTTAGTCCATTCTGTCATTGATCCAATGCTGTACTTTGCATTTTTCTTTTAAATGAAGGTTACGAAATGTCACGGAGCCTTAACAGCATAGCTGGCATAAGTGGAAAAGCGATAGGATTATCCTCAGTGTCTGCGCCCTACAGCTCTCCTAGTCCAGTGAGACGTTCTTGGTCTCCCATCCCATCTATTTTGTAGCATGGATCAGTAGCAGAGAATGGTCTAAAAAGCTTTATTTTCAATTAGCCTATGCTATGTTGCATATAATCCAGGTGACTAAGTCTGAAGATGCAATGTCTCACAGTAGCACCTGCTGGGAACGGTGTTACTACTGATGCTAGGTGACAACACTCCTAAATTGCACTCAGATGACAATAGGCAGGCCATTCACGTGGTACTGGTGGGCCATAATGTGCTGCATGGTATCAGTACGTAGGATGAAGGGTAGATGCACCAGATAGCTTCCTTCCTGGTGCATCGTGCTAGTTATGCTTATTGTGGCTAATGGCGGATCTACTGGCTCGGTATGGAATGGGTTAGGCATAGAGTCGATGCTGAAACATGCCAACGATGGAAGATTTTGCTTTTCTCAGGATATTTTTGAGCCATAGGAACCCTGCAGGAGTTTGAGCAAACAAGCACAGTAGGATGAAACTTTGCATGGGCGCCTATCTTAAGCTGAAAGCAATACTCAGACACACTGTAGAGAGGTCTCAGTCTGGCTGACTGCATGGAAAAAAAACCCTGTTGAAGAAGAATATGGCTGCCTCTGCATGTAGCTATTTCACCTTTTCCTCCTTCCTTTAAAACTAAGATGCCGAGCTTGATGTGAAAAGCACAGGGAAGAAGCTCAAGTACTGATTGTATTCTTTACATGCAGATCTTTGCAAAGAAAGTCCAGTCATTGCTAAATATATGCCAACAGAGGCAGTCAGAGTGACCTGACAAGGCAAGATGGAGATGAACATTGATGGCTAATAAACATCTGTGTGGAACTGTGCAGGCATAGAAGACCTTCTCATTTGGACAAAGTTAACTCGCTCCATGCAGGTTTTATGGATGATTCTTCGTGGTTCTGGAGTTGTACTAGAGATGCAGGCTTTTTCTACGGCCAAAACGTAACAAAACTGTAGAAGATCTCTTTTTTTTTTCCTTAATCTATTTTTTTTTTTCTTTTTGGTTCCATAGCATGAATTGCATGAAGACAAAAATAAAAAAAAAAATAAAAAAATAAAAAAACAAGAAACACTGCAAATGTATGATTAACTTTAAGGAGGAAAAAAAAAAAAAAAAAAAAAAAAAAAAAAAAAAGCAAAGTTATATATTTTCTTTCAAAGCTCTTTACTTTTACATACATTGTTGTAGCCAAAATGTAAAACATAAAACTGTACATTTCTTTGCTATGGATCGCTTCTTTTTGTATACGAGATACAGAGTAATGGTTTTAAAAAGTGCAATCAGGCAGACATGGGTCATATTGACCACGCCTTCACAGATCATCACACCGACATGGAAATCAAGAACTTTTAATCCAACTAGACGTGTATAAAAATAAGAAACTATTTTCTGTCTGTTTTTGTTGGCATGCTTGTGACACATGGGATCTTCCTTCGGACCTGACAGTAACAGCTGGTCTAGATTTAATTTTCCAGCTCTGGTTATGTTGTATTTTATTGATGTATAGATCCAACGTAAAGACCCTTCATAAATTGTTCATATTAAGTAATCAGTATGAATTTTTAAAAAAGAAAAAGGTGTTATTTTAAAACTGGGACTTATAGTACAAAAATCAGGAAAATACTCAAGTATAAATTGTCTCAAAGTTTAAGAAACAAGACAACAGCATTGTATGCAATTTAGTACTGAGTAAAAATGCATGCACAATGTTATGCAAAACAATTCTAGCATGAAATAAATTTTGTATCATGGTTTCAGTGCCTGCTGTATAGTGTTAAAGGGAATCCTTTTCAGAAGTGATCAGGGGTTTCCAGAGACTTGCTTCTAAAACCTTGAATAAATTCAGTGTTCTCAACAGAACTGTAGGAGAAAAGCTTGGTATTGCTTTGGTTCTGAAACACTAACTTGGGTTAGTAGATAATAAATGAAGCCTGCAAACACTTGATACAACCAATGTCTGAAGAATTCACATCATTAGTAATTTTAAGAGGAAAGATTAAAAAGCTCTATAATTATCTAGGTATCTTCCTTTTCCCTCCCCAAGAATAATAAAAGTTTGTCTTTTTAGCTGATGAAATGAATTCAGTTTCTTACTTTTTTGGACCTCATCGTTCCTTTGTTCTTCATTGAGCCACAGCAGTCCACTTCATACAAAACCCTGAAAGAAATCCAGGTACCCAAGTAGTGCTTTATTTGCCACACAAAACATGCAGCAGCAAGAACCAAGAAACACAATAACATTGGGTTTCACTTTAGATCCTGGAAATGACAGCTATGGACTATGTGTCAACAACATTTTGGAGAAGTACTTTCTTGAATGAAGGATACATCTTTATCCTCACATGAAGCTCTTTAAAAGAGTTAGAAACCTTTCAGACAGAAGCTATAGCACTTGGGGCTGCAGAAGAGAATGAAAATGGAACAGTGTCCCTAAAGTTTGGAGAAAGTAGAGACTAAAACAAAACAAAAACATAAGAAATACTAATGGCTCTGGTAAGTGCTGAAATATAAGCAACAACAACAAAAACCAACTGCAGCTGGACTTCGTCTTCATAAAACTACTACAAAAGAAGAATGAAGGAGACCTCCAGCTGTGTTTTAGGAACAGGAGAAAGGCTGATGATGTGAACTTGAACATAATTAGATGAAGGACCACAAAGAAGCTTTCTAACAGTACGTACTCAATTTCTACTGCAGTCAACTATCCTCTCTCCTAAGAAGTATTTTTCTCCTACTGTCATTAAGCTGTTTTTCACAGCTGATGAACGGACAGTTTTCCTATCTTCAGAGACAAGATCCAGGTTAATCCAGGACCCAAAAATTGTCTAATGAACAGCTTCCCCTCTTATAGCATGTTAAGAAGCCAGAAATAGATTTCCCACATTTTTTATTTAATGCTAGAACTCAAGGGCCCAGTGTGAAGGCTGCTCAAATTCTTCATTACCATAATAAGGAACATGAACAATTCAGCCTTGTAAATCCCACATAGGTTTTCCCCTTCTGCAGTGCTTTGCATATATATGAGCTTTAGCTATATTGAACAGGTTGGGTACACGTGGCCTAAGGCAATTGTAATTCTGTGCTACTTTTTGCACTACCACACCTACAATCCCATCTTCCTTTCAGTATTCCTTTTTCTAATTCAAGGTATCTGTGCCTTCAGGCACCCTCTGTAAACCCTTCAGAAACTCAATGACACTTCCTACCTGGTGCTCCTCAAGAGATGCTCTGCAGCTTAAGACCCTACTGCTTCCCCTTGCACTAAAGAAGCAGCACCAACAACTGGAAAGTTTCAGTAGGATCTGCTGCTCCAAATCCTGACACCAAGTCCAATGAGAAACTTCACAGAGTATACAAGCTGCTTTACATTTAAAGAAGTTTTCTTGGTTATTAAAACATAAACTCTTCAAACATGCTCACTCCCATCACAGTGGGTATATATTTTAATAAAAGGATTAAGACGTGGCTGGATTCTGGCCTCACACTTGCAATAATGCCACCAACTGCTTCTGATGTCACCCACGGTGAAAGCAGTAGCACAGCCAGCAGCTGAGCTGCACTCTGCCCTTTTCTTGCTGGAAGTGAACATCCAGGTTTCTTCCCCTGGCACCTCATCTCCCAGCAATGGACACCCAGCCAGCTGAGCCTGCCTCAATACTGATGCTCCCTCCGACTGGCGCTCACCGTGGTCTACTGTCTATCACAGGCAGCTCACCCCAGCCAAATCTCCTGCATGTGCAGCTGCCCTTCTTTTTGTGGGCAGCCCAGATGTGCAAAGCACTCTCCACAGCTACCGCTTCTGACAGCGTGGACCTGAAGAGTGGTTTCTGCTCCCCCACTCCAAAAAGAATCCAGCTACTACCACTGTGGTAACAGTCATATGCAGCAGTCATTAATCTGGATAAAGTTGTTCTTCACATAAATTGCCTTCTTTCTCCCTAAAGTTTCAGGTCCAAGAAGAAAATACATCACTGAAACAAATGTCTGCTAGGACAAATGAGAAGACTGAAATACAACAGAGGGCAAGCAGGGAGAAGGCAAGGACACTCACAAAGAAACTGAGAACTGAGCAGCTTATGAAAGACATCCTGAGGCAATCCCAAGCACAGTTATTAGCCTGCCACTTTGCATATCCTCTTCACGGTTTCAAAGCACAGCAGCACCCCGCTCTGCTTTATACACTGAAAGCAACTTCACCTCTCTGCTCACACAAACTAACTTCACTTTGTGAAGATGCTTCAATTATGTAGGTTATTTTTAAGTTGCTCATCTATTTGAGCTTGGGCATAAAACACCTGTCGGTTCAGAAGCCCCAAATCTTCTGCCCTCGTCTAGGACTGTAGGTGCACCCTTTCTCTCTTATGGGAATATGAATGCTTGCTTGTGATCAAGAGCAATAGTTAAATTCAAATTCAGCCTCAAATTACAAAGCACATCCAGGAACTGCAGCTCTTGACTTGCTTTGCTTATCACATAAAACACAGGAAGATGAGTTTCCTGGCCCTGGCTGAGCAGGTCAGGCTTCCAGACCTCAGCACTCCCAAAACTGTATGCAAGTACTTCGGGCCCAAACATCTCCATACAAAAAGCATGTACTCCAAGGCTTTCACTGGCTTCTCTACTGCTCACCTTGGGGTTTTGTCAGTCAGTCACAGGCAGAGCGTTGCTGTCATTTTGGCACAGTTATCACTGAGGGCACCATGGCTGCAGGCTGTGGCAGTGTGACACCAACAGCTATGGAAAGAGGAAGGGGAAAGGATGGCGGGAAGATAGTGGTGCAGGGAGAATAGAAGGACACAGGACTGGTCTAAAGAGCGGGGTGAGCAAACAGCAGGGTTGGGAGTATGTGAAGAACCAGCCGTGGGGGTAGTGGGGAGGATGAAGAAAGCAAGGAGGAAGGGGAGTAGGAGCATGACCTATACACTTCAAGGACCGCTGGCCTGAAGCAGAGCCCTGGCCTGGGCATTGTAAGACTGGAATTTTATTCTTGGTTCTGTTGTAGACATGCTGAGTTAACTTGGCTGGGATTTGTCAATTTTTTGTGCCTCATCTCTTGTTTCTGTCATGTTGCCCTCTTTTTAAAGTGTTCTGAGGACAAAAGATGAAAAGCAGAATTTAAGTCGAAATAGTTTTTCATAATTACGTACTCAGAATTAAGGCATCAGAGGAGAGCAGCAACTACATTATGTAAGAGACACCATGTTTCCTGGTCTGCAGAAGAACACTGTGCTCTTATAGGAATTCCTTTTCTTTAGTACTTTAAAGCTAAGTATTATTATGGAAAATGATTAAGCACCCACACAGTTAAAATGACAGACCATCTTCATTACTGGCAACTCCTCTGCTGCCCTAATATAAGTACCACGTCTTCATGCATTCAAATCAGTACAAACAAAACAAAAGCTAAACTCATTTGCCTCATTTGAAGCAAAAGAAAAAAAATCATTTCAGAACATGAAAAATCTTCCAATTCTTGACTCTACTTTCAAATAATAATAATAATAATAGAGTAAAAACAGTCTTTTAGCAAAGTGTTCATATACACTTCAATTATGATGATCAGGGAACTGTCATCATGCAGACTGTGTTGAGTAACAAGTTGGTCTATAAGACAAAGCAGTCTGGAAATAGAAGAGAAAGGTGAAAATTGAGAGGCTCACAAACACAGGAACCGGACTTAGACTTATCCAACCTGCAAAGGCTTGCCTGAAAATGAATGAAAATCCAACAAGTCTCAAACCAAAAATGCCTGAAGAAGTTTCAAAAAAAAAAACCATTTGTCTCCATGGCCAGCTTTTTTTCAGCAATTACTTTGTTGCTTTTGATGCTAACTAAACTAAACTGAATAACATCTTCCCCATAACTCTGCAAATATATGTTTCCCCCCTCTCCCACAGCACAGCACAAGGTTCATCCAGGTCACAGTTCCAATACTCAAAGACCATCTTCACTGCTGAGTACTCTGTAGCATATTTTCTTTCAATGTTCCACAGATG